GTCATTTTTAGAGATACTCCAAAAATGGGTTGAATACAAATGCATGCCAACCTTTATAGATCTTTATTTCGAAAAAATTATAAATAATTAAAATAAGAAATAGATCCAGAAAAAACTTTTTCGCGTTTGCAGCCGGACAGAATATGGAAAAGTTTGAGATGAAGACATCATATTTTGTTTTAACTTTCTGATCAGTTCCTGCTGCATTTTGGCGTCACCAGGAACACTGCTTCTCAAAAGAAAGAAAGAAAAAAAAAAAAAACAAGAAACAGTCCAGGTACAGAAGATGTGAATTTAATCTCCTAAATATCTTGGTCATTAACAGTATTTTGCCATCATGCAGCTGTACCATCTGAGCTCACTAAAATGTGCAAGTTTAAACTAGCAATCTAGTCTATATTCTGGCATGTTGAAACTATAAAAAAAAAAAACGAATTGTCGTTCAAAGCCACGTCACAGCCAGAGTATGAAGGGCACTTAAAGAAATCACAACTTGAGGAAATCACAGCTGTTTTTGCACTGTCATGCTTGTAAAATGGGTTTTAAAGCCGTCTGAGGGCAGGGTGTCCTCAGTGTCTGAAGTTTGACATCCATTTGTCTTTTTTGTGATAAGTAAGCTAAAGTACATCAGTTAACCCTGGCACATCTCCCTGATCTTTGCCTACCAAAACCATAAACATGAATCTGCTTATGCTGCAGATCAGAAACTTGCAAAGGGGAGAAAAACTTTACCCATCATCATGGGGTTTACAGAACTGTTCATCCTTTCGAGAACAAGAGGCAAAAGATTTGGGACAGCGTGTTTGACAAGGGTCCCATGGGCAGTTTCACTTGAAGGGCAACATAAAAGCAGTTTTGTGCAGGAACTGTGTGAATAAAACTGTTTCCAAAACGATAACCATCTTTTCCGACGCTGTTAGTCACAGAAAATCCCAAAAGATGAGGTGAACATTAATACTCTGTTTCTTGGCTGTGTTCTCTTTTTGGCTTCTGCAGAATCAGACAAGCCTCAACCCACCATCTGCTTTCTAACACTTCTGTCAACTTTTTTTGGATGAGAAAACCTTCCAAGAAAATCTTCAGAAATACTCTTCTTTTTTTTTCAGGTTTACCACATCCTATTTAAAATCAAACATTTCCCTCGGGTAGGTTTTCACAGTGCTTCAGCAAGACATTGGATCTGCAGTGCCTCATATAAATGTCCACTCCCCTTGAACTTTCGCACATTTTTTATGGTTCAGCCTTACATTGACATTCATTTTATTGAAGGATAGTTTGTGATAGAGAGTACAATATTTTACATAACTGGGGATTGGAGTGCAAAGGATACATAGTTTGATATGTTTTACAGATGAGAATCTAACAACATATGCAATGCATTGGAGTTCAGCCATACTGTAGTTACAGCTGCAAGTCTTGTTGGGTATGTCTCTGCTCAATACATCAAAATACAAGAATGTTAGCTCATTCTTTGCAAACTTTGGTGCAGTCTGTTTGGATGAGCATGCCTTAGGTCAACTATTTCTACAGCTCAAAAAATTTCAAGTCTGAATCGGGTCTGGATCTGATTGGGCCATTTTAACACAAAACTATGAATTCATTAACCCAGAGGCTCTGGCTATAGGATTGGGATGCTTTCAGTTTCATGTCCTCTAACCAGGTCATCTGCCACAATTGTCCTTTTTTTTTTGCGTCCCCACAGTATGATGATGCTCCATTTCCGTACATAATTTCACTCTGAAGATGTAATGACAAAACAGGCTTAGATCGAAAGACAACTTTCATCTGAGCTCTGATTTTTATCAACATCAGCACAACAACTACAGGACTGATAAAGGCTCCTGGATCAGTGTCCAAACATTTTCAGAAAAACCAAGCAAAAGTCAGGTTGCCTCTGATCTAAGCCTGTGTTGTGGTTGCCATGACCTGGATGACTGAGAATTTGCACAAACACAGTGTAGATGCTGTGGTAGACTAACAAGCATAGTTATGGTTTCAATAGCACACAGATTTACTTTATAATCATACAATGTGGTTTCAGCCGAAACAAATGTTAAAACATGTTATGACCATGAAGACATTTGAAAGACACTTTTAAGCTTACTGTAATTATGTTTAAAGGAAAAAAGAACACAATGTTTTTGGAGCCTGTGAAAGGCTTAGTAAGTAAGAAGCCTTTTAAACTGGAGCACCAGAAAATTGTGTGCTTTCACCATTTCATTTGCACAGAAAAGATTCATTAGAACCATAGAGACAGCTGCTTCATTTCAGCTGAAGCTATGGAATCAAATTTTGTTTTATCTATGTTGGAGCATCACAGGACAGTAGTAAGAAAAGCTTTGCTCAATATTTTCGTTCATTCATATTATTTTCCCTAGCACAGAGCCAGCCTCATTAGTTCAAAGCAAGGACTTGCCCTGATTTACTGGTATATCTCTGCAGGTTTGAAAAATGCAGCCATGTTATGCAACCTTAACTGCAACTCAAACATATGACATTGGCGCCCTCTAGTGGGAACGTTTTGTCCTCATGGCTCCATTAGAGCCAGATGGAGCTCATGTTGCACTCTTTGCTCAAGGCCATCTTGATCTAATGTGTTTATAGAAGAAGCAAGATTTCTTGTCCTTCGCACCAAATTTTCAGCCAGCCTGTCTTTTTCTTAAAGCACCACAAGTGTCAGAGCTAAATCATCAAGATGGGGAACTGATTCACCAGCAGATTAACTAAGAAATATGAGAATATAAGAAATTGTCTAAATAAGCATCATCTTCCTGCTTTCATAACTTTAAACACAATTCAAAGAGGCTTCCCAAGGTGCTGTATATAAACCAAGCTTTATCTTGACCTTTGAGAATATCTTACTGCAATTACTGCTGATATCCTCTTTGCTCTGCCATTTTTAACAGTTGTTTTAATTGTTCACACATAGAAAATATCCCCTTTAAACTATGATTTCACTTTAGGACTGCTGAAGTTAATGCAAGGAAAACGGGTACCGAACCGGTCATTGTTTATCATTATAAATATATTTCTAATTGGCATGAAATGCATTACAGATGTTCATAATAAATTAAGTAAGACACGCATACAAAGCAGAACAACACAGAAAATAAATATTGAACATATAGAAAGCCCCCCCCCACCCCGCAAAAAAAAAAAACAGCTTCAACTTGTCTTTATAAAAAATAAATAAAATCTTTTCTATTAGTGCAAATCAATGATTCAAATCAATAAACAATTGTGCAAGACCACGGCTTAGTAATGTTATTTCAAAGAAATATCAATTGTCACCCTTACATTTACGTCACGAGGGCTCCCATCTACTCTTAAAAGTTTATGTGACAACTCAGTCATTCAGTTCGTCAAAAGCTCATTGGTGTGCGATCTATGCGGCACAAGAAAGAGAAACTAGACTCCTTTCATTAGTCGTTCCACAATGAAACAAGCTTATTGAGGGTAGTCTCTCTGAAAGGCTGGGTTTAAAAGTTTGAAAGAATATTTATCTGCCCTGTTCTTCCTCAGCCTCTCTTCTCTACTATCTCTGTCTGCATTCACCCCTATTTCTACACTTTAATAATAGCTGCATTGCTATATTCTCATTTGTAAGCTGCTTTGAATAAGCTTTATGCAAACATAACCATAAAAGAACAAATGAATAAAGCACTATGGACTTAATGGCTGCTCATTTGAAAATACTCCTCTGTTCAAACAAAAGTTATCGCTCAGTGGAAGTTTGTTGCAGAACCTTTGGACATGCCATCGAGACCCTGTTAAAACACACACGTGTCAGATGAGATAAAACATTGTCTTTTGAAATCTTATCACAAAGAATATGCAGTGAAATATGGGGGTGAGAAGATACGCGAGAAGGTTCTGTGATTTGTGTGTGATTGTGAACACACAATCAGAAAAACCTTTAAGCAGCGGCGATTTCTCATTGCATACTATGAAGGTTAAACCTCCCCAGTAGATTTCTTAAAATTAATGGTAAAATATGTTTTGCCAAACTTCATAAATGTAGTCATTACACTGCTTTAAATATACGCTAAGATGCACCTGATTTAATAAGTATGTTGCACATTAATCAGGTGCTTTTTTCAGCTCCCGGATGCGATCTCCCCTCCACTCTGGAGCAGCAGGACGCTGCCACTCTATAATAAATCCCTGTTGAGGTTAAAGCCTTCGTCTATTGAGGTAAGCAGTGAGAAAGTAGAGCCCTGATTGGATAACATGCAAAATACATCACTTCCAGAGTGGTTAAACCTCTTAGATGGTCTAAGGAGCAGGGGCGGGTCTTGAATTGGCTGCTCAGTGCTGATTAGCAAACATACAGTAGCCAGACAGTAAGAAGGTTTTCCTAATGAGTCGAGGGAGAAAAGTGATCATTCAGTCAGAACAGTCATCTTGTGCTGAACTCTTGCCATTGTTTCTTGAGTTTATTATTTCAGAGCACATCACAAAAGCTTTTTTCACCTGTTGTGGTAATGTGTTTTATGTTTTTCAACATTTTTAATGCAATAGGTGACGCTTGGATTTAAATAAAACCACTGAACCTCCCATTTCGGGTAGCATCAGCCCCCACTGCTCTTAAGGTAATTTAAGTAGATAAGAAATAAAGATCAATGGCAAGTGGATGGGTCCCCAGAGGTTTTAAAACAGATAGTTTTAAAGAATAGGGGAAAATCTGAGATATGAATATGACCATTTTCCTACACATAGGGGATATCTTGAACTCTGCATTAAAAGGTTTTTTAACAAATTCAGTGAGCCTGTTAGTTGTTTAACCTAGCTTTAATGTGTGGATCATTCTAGTCGTTGCCTGAATCTGGTGTAAATTTTGGGAAACCTCCCATGTGCAAAAAGTAAAAGTTGATTTATTGTTTTTGTGTTTTTCTGTGTAACAAGAATTCAGTCACAAAATTTCAACTAATTTTACATAAAAAAATATTATTACAGTCCCAACTCTCTTTCAGTGACAGAACACACAATTATATACTTGAAAAGTTTACTGAAAGCTTTTTTTTATTTACCTCTTTTATAGGATTCACATATGGGTTATTTTAAATTATAAACCTCACAAAAATAGTTCCGACCTTTACAGTTTGTTTTTTTTCTCCATCGGTTTCATGTGCTACACAAAAATAAAACCACAGACAAAACACCAACTGATCACAGAAATAATACCTGCATTTTCAGTTCTTTTGTTTTCAAAGCATGCACAAAAAAACTTAAGCTCAGTGCTTTAATTTAGTTCGAAGCTAAGCTTTATCGGGAAACAAAAAATGTCCTTTTGAGGGACAATGTTGCAGTCATTTTGTTGGCTTAGAGATTTCACTGTTGCTACTCCATATAGATGTGGGAGAGGAGACATTTAGGCCATTTGCATGCAGCAAACACAGCTTTTAAATCTAGACCAACATAAAGGCTTTCTAAGAAAACTGCAGTTTGCACTTTTTATATAGCCCTCATTAAATTGATCCTGAAATTTGAATCTAAGGCAACTTTCCTTTCGAAGGAGATCATGGGTTTAATGTCTCCGCTGATCACTCAGACTTATGGCTGATAAGAAGACATCACAGTGGTAGGGATGTTATCTCAGCTTTTCAACATGAACAAACTTGGCTTTGCAATGTCTTAAATAGAACACAGAGGTTATGCAGACTTCATGCATTCACACAGCTCTAAATAGAGCCCCACAATAAGTTTAACATTATCACAAGGTTTTGAGACCATAAGGAAAAGCACAATATTCACAGTGTTCACTGTTTTGATGACAAAAGCTACAAGAATGATGCTTCCAAAGATCGGATGATGTGCAGAGTTTTAACACTGAGTTAATATACTGCAAATATACTCGTTTTGTGCCTAGAAATTATTCTCTGTTCAGAGAATATTGCTTTGGGACCTCGGTGACCTATAAAATCATATGTCCCTAAAAGAAGCTCAGCAATTCAGCAAATGCCAAATGTTCCCCACTTCAAGATCAGCTGCTGACCTTTCAAGTCTAATCTTTTCAGAATAAATATGTGGTCAAAGTTTCTCTCAAGCCCTCTGAAACCGACGCTGACGGTTCAGGTCAGCAGTTACCACAGGTGTAGAGAAAAAAGGAAATCTCTTCCTTTCCATTTCTGCATTAAAACTGTTCATAATGCCCTGGATTTTTTTAACAACGTTTGTAAAGGAACACCACAGGAGAGGTAGGAATTGGAATTCCAAAGCTTAGATTTACAAATACGCTGATGTGTGTTCAACATTGCATGCTAACAACCTGCTGCACAGTAGGAGAAATTAAAACCACACTCTTCACAACTTTATATGGCACTATGTAGGAGTTATGTCCCCCAGGACAGATTCGGCTCCAGCAACCAAACTCAGAAGCGTATTTACACAACTGGAGATCTGGCTTTGGTAGAGTTTTTCGTTTGCTAGGTGTCCACTTCCTCTCGCGGTAGGTTGAGCCTCACCTCCCCACCTGCTGCTGCAGTGGCAGAGTATGTTGCTGTGGCAGAAGCACAAGAAGGGCCATTGGTCTCCATGGTGAACAGCTTCCAAGGTCCTTGCAGGGCCCCATCAGGGGCCTCTCCTTCAGGGCTGGAGGCTCTGGATGATCCAGGAGAAGATGTGGGGCTCAGCTGCACAGCTGTGGTGTCCTGTAGAGTGTGCTCACTGGTTTCTATTTCAAACGCTGCTCTGCCAGTCAGCCCACCATGTCCCATCAACCCAGACCCCCTGCCACCCACCTTAGAGCCTCTGGAGCTGCTCGGAGGAGGGAGGCGACTGCAAACACAGCAGGCCCCAAAGAAGGAGAAGGCCACCAGCAGCAGAACGGGTCCAATGATGATCGGGGGATTAGAGGAAGGCACCAGTGTGCTGAAGGCAAATGCTCCCACCAGGGTGATGTTGAGTCCTGCCAGCATGATGCATAGCCCACAGGCGCAGCAGAGCGCCGGAGAGGGAAGGCCATGAGGACGAGACTTTCTCCTATCCTTCTGAGGTTCATTGTTACACACAGGGGTGCTGTTGTTCCTATCAGTGATGACCATGTTGTTAATTCTTGAGCTTCTTTTGTTTATTGTCTATCTTTGAGAAACACAGAATAAAAGAAGATAAACTTCAGCACCGGCTATAACACATAACACGTAATCTCTAACACTGTATTCTAACCACTACAGTGTCCTTCTGGGAGTTTATTGCAAACATCAGTGAGATCTGATCATTGATAAGTGCACTGCTTCAGAGCTACCGGTAAGCCAAGTATTCATACACCTTGAGCAGTTTCAAAAATTGCGCCAAGCTAGAATCTCAAACTCCAAAGTAATTTATTGTGACTAAATGTGTGCAGCACTGTAAAGTGGAGGGAAAACTATGCAGTGTTTAGACATCTAAAGAGTGGCATGTATTTGTATTTTTTCCTGCAGTGGTATATTATCTCCACTGGTTTTCTGATCTAATCTTTCCAGAATGATAAAAACAATTTCCTGCCTTAAACCAAATTTTAAACTAGACATTTTACTGCCTCCTTTAACATTACAGTATCCCAGTGTTTCTATAAGCCCCTCAACAGCTTCTCTGAATATTGTATAATGATATACAAAGCGTTGGGTTCTATCTTTTCACCTAACCTTTTATTTCAGGCCTTCTATTTTATTAACTTCATGATGTATTTGGTTCTAAAATATTTCATTTAAAAAAACTATGTACACTTTGTATTTAGACTGAGAATGATTAATAATTTGGTTGCCTCTGAAATTATTCATTTCTACAGTAAGTACTGGGAGGAATACAAAGGAATGCATTTTGTCTCCCTTTAAATGTTGAGAATCCTATAAAGTTTTCTTTTTCACAACAATATAATCAATACTATCACATACAACCCCCCTGAAATACACTTAAGCCATTGGTTGGCATGTGCAACATTTAACCCTTTATAGGACAAGTTAGCGTTTTTGATCAATTGCATACCCCTTACAAGTGGAGTCCCCCCAACACCCCCCACCCCACCGCCAACACCCCTGTCCCTCAGTGAGGTCTAGAAGCACAGGAACTATATCCAGCCATTAAGCAAAGATGCTGCTACATGGCTGTACATCTTATTTTGGCATTTGACCAATTAGATGAGCCTTACCTACTGTGAATAAAGTTGGAAAAAGTTAAGTCCACAAAAAAGGTAAAAAGCTAATTGAAAAGTTAAAAATTAAAGTTTCGTTAACAATTATATTTAGGTTTATAAACTAAAAAATGTAAGAGCCAGTATCAGCATTAATGCCTCTAAGGTAATGTACCAAAAAAAAAGTGTTTTTTTTTCATTCTGTTTTTCATGAATGTCTTATAGAAACATTTTTCTTATTTTTCTTAATATATTCAGGCAAGTAGGCATTTCGTGCCATCAAAATATCCATATTTTTTATGTTAAAAAAGGTAATAAGGTCTAGTCCTGGATTCCAATAACACCAATGGCTTGAAATTTTGATTTGCAAAAGATTTAACTGAGTGACCTATAAAGGGTTAATAAAGATCAATGAAATATAGCGAAATAATCACTAAACACATACAAACAGAAAACAGTGACCCCTGTGCTACAGCTCAGTGACACATAAACTATGGTTCTGACATCCACAGCATCTATTATATAATTTAGAAAAATGCCTAATAATGCAAGCCTCTATGATGCTCTCAGTAAAGATCCATTTTAAATATCAAATAAAATTAGATTTTTAATACAATTCATTGTAAATGTGTAAGGCATGCATGTAAGTTAACATCTACAAATGTGCAGTAAAAATATATATATTGAAATATAACCAAGCTCTGGTGATAAATACTTATTTTTTTATACAATAACTGAAACCCTCCTGAAGGTGTTTGATAAGCATCTGCATGCATTTTCTCTGAATCTGTAAATTTCAATGTGATCAGAGGCATGGCAGCTGCCTACTTCAGGCCAGAGAGGCCATTAGTACATTTTCCAGCCAAATGTATTACTGTTTATACCTATTTACCTTGTTGCAGCAGAGCTGAGGCTCCCATATATCATGTATATGGGATTTAATAATAAAAGTAAGAAAAGGAGTTACAGCCTAATGAATGTTATATTTTGTCAGAATAAAATGTCCCATACACAAAAATAGATTGAAGCTGATCTCTGTTACCTTACCCATTATGCCAACTCTGTAAAGGTGCTCCCATTGTTAATCCATCAGATGTTTTAGGGCAATCCTTCATCTGATAGTCACATGTAATTATTTACACGCTGAAAGGCTGCATCAAAACCAAACGGAGATTTTGCATCCTGCTTTCGATGTTCCTTTTTTGTTTATTTGTTTTTGTCCTTTTCAACCCCTGTGTGGCACAAGTCATCAGATGAATTCAATCAGTGGAACAGGAAACCGGGAGGAGAAATAGGATCATTTAGGTGAGACGGCATCTCTCCTGAGCTGACACGCGGCTCCAGATGTGGACCAGATGAGATGCGCTGGTAGCAGACAGGTCACTGCTGCGACGTAAATGGCGAAAACCAGAAAGCCTCCTCATGTCAGACGGTGTCAAACCTACATGGTCCCTTCATTTTTATCTGATGTGTGCGACGCAGAGCCTTTCCCCTCCTTTATGAACCGCTGGATGCAACGATTTGGTCACCACGTCAGCGATCCATCCATCAGTAGGTCGAGGTATGGCAAGCTGATTTGCCAAATAATTACGGAAACCATATTTCACTTATTTTGTCATGATGAATACCTAAATATCTAGAATATCTCGTGTTGAATCACAGGGTAAAATATGACACATATAATGTCATCTCTTTCAAGTATAAACAACATAAAATAAAAATAAAAAACTATGTAGACTTACAGCTACTATCTACAGGCTTTAATTGATATAATATATATACATTTTAATATACATTTTGTTTGTTTTTGACCCAAAATGTGATATAACTTTTGTGATATTCCTAATTTCCATACATGCTCCAGCGCTCCCAATTTAAATGTATGAGAAATTATAATTTATTCTTATTTCATGCTTGATCTAATGTGCAAATTCTGTTCCTTGATATCAATAATAATTTAAATTTTGCATCTCTAACATGAAACCAAGCTGTAACAATGGTATTGTGCATATCTGAAAGGTGTTGCTTTTAAGGCAGGCTGTTTCTATCTTTAAATCTGTTGCTGACTTTCTATGTTAGAATGGATTGTATTTGTGGAATTGGAAACTTGACAAACGTGTCATTTTTTTGTCTAAGGAAGATGTATGTTGTGATATTTGAAATGACTGTGTAAAGGAAGAGTCCTTTTGGAAAGCTAAAATACTAATGTTTACTTGGATGCATATCCACCTTACTCACAAAAGGATGTTAGAAAATACACTTTTCCAAGCTTTTCAGAAAATTCCTCTTCAGTCCATAGACTTTCAATATGTTAAGTGAGAATGTACATTAAGAACAGAGGTGGGTGGAGTACTATATATATATATATATATATATATATATATATATATATATATATATATATATATATATATATATATATATATATATATATATATATATATATATATATATATATATATATATATATATATATATATATATATATATATATAATTACTATATATAGTAAAAGTAAAAAGGAGCCCTGCAAGAAACTACTCAAATACGACCAAAATCTGAGGTAATGAGTAATTGTGACCATTATTTGAAAAGATAAAAATGCAGATTGTGTATTTTAAATACTAGAAAAAAGAATACTTACTAATAAAATGATATAAAAAATTACAATTTGGGCAAAAAAGATTTCCAAATCCATTTTAAATACCGGTAACCTTAGACTAATCCATACAGTAGGTCATGAATGGATGCTGGATCAGGGTAAAGAACTTCAACCAACAATTTGTACTCCTTACTGAATGTTTATCTGATCTCCAAATAGCATAAGCTGCTTGCAGTGGAAAGAATAGCCAGAAATTCTACTCAAGTAAGAGTAGCAATACTTCATAGATTTGTTGCTCAAGGAAAAGAGATTAGTCCAAAAAGTAAAACAACTTCTTCATGTAAATCCTTTTACAAATGTAACTGCTTACCATCTTGGATTAAGAATTATATTATTTAAGGTAAAGAACATAATATGAAGTGAGGTTTAGTTAAAAGGTAATACGAAGAATGCTTAATTACTGCTTTTATGTCTTCTTTGTAGATATTTTAATATTAGTTGGGCCTGGAAGTTAAGACTAAGAGCTTTTTACACACTAGAAGTCTACTTCAGCATGAGTCTCTAAAACTCTAATGATTAGCTTCAGCCTCTGGGAAAAATTAATATGGATCGAACAATTTCAAGACTTGGTTGCAAGAATCTTATTTTAAAATCCTGAACTACTTTGGTAATATTTTTAATACTGGTTTGATATTAAAGTGTCCAATTAATAAATTGTAATATGACCTGCCGTAAAAACCCTGCGTGAAGTGAGCTGAATGAGGATGAAGGCTGTTGCTGCTCTTTCTTGACAGCTCATCTTTATATTATGTTTGCCTAACATACATTATTTAAGTCTTGTAAAATAATTTACATCTTTCTGGTGATCTTCTTTAAAAAGATTGTGCTTATAGTATAAGATAGCATTATTGCCATGGCTGATACAGTGAAGTATGAGATAAAAGTTTATCCTGTAAATTTCACACGAGTTTCTCAACAAATTTAGGATTAGGAGAAAAGAAAAAATATTTAAAGAATACAGAAGATTATCAGGAAAACAATTGAACGCCGTAAATTAAGATGACTAAAATCCATTCTAAAGGGTCAGCAGTCTAGTATTTTTCACATCCTATTTCATGGCTGCATTCAGTGACGCAAAGGTATTGAGTGGTGAGCCTTTGTGGTTCCTGACGCCTAGCAGTGAAGCTGCAGGTGGTCAATGAGACACTGCTGAAAGCTCAGGCTCCTGATTGTTAAAGGCTTAATAACACAACTTAGCATTATTTACCCTCACAGCAGGTTATGTTTTATTGTCAGGCTGCAGCCTTCCTTCCATGAAGCAGTTCTTCACGTCCTGAAAATGTGCATTATGTAACACGATGGGGAGCAGGTCACGGTGTGAGTGTAAGACCTGTAGCTGTTCACAACATGTGGAAACAACCTTCAGTTTAGTTTAAACTCCTTCAACCTGGCTTTGGGAATCTGAAATGAGCAAATTTAGAAATATTGATTTCATATCTTTAGGTTTATTAGAACATGGGTAGCATACACATTAAGGAGCAAATTGTAACCTGCAGCTCAGCTCAAACACATGAACAGAAAACACAGGAGAGAGTTGAAGTCTCTATTGGTCCACTTTTTTCACATGATCAGATCATGGAGGGTCTTGATCAGTGGGCGACTGTTTCATTTTCCATCTGGATAAGACATCTGGCATGTCTGAAGACGTCCTGCAACAGACCAATGCATGAGTCACGGTGGCAGTGAGGGTTATGTGGTGGGTGTCAGTGTGTGACAGAACTGAAAAAGATAGAAAGACAGAAAACAGACATGTAAAGAGAAAATCTGAAAGAAAACGGATCTTTACTCGGTTAGTCTGGACTTGCTGGCATTTACAGATGTGTAAATTATATTTAGACTAACTTATTACGAAATTCCATCTGTTTTTTTTATAATATATTTAGTCCAACTTTTTCATCCAACTAAGAAACATGAACTTTCTAAAAGACTAGATTAGATAAGCATCATTGCTTATATGTTAACAATTGACAATGCAACACAGATTAATCAATGTTATGTAAATAAATCAAATATACTGTTAAGGTCATCTATTTAGTCTTCTATGCTAGCTACTTTCTGAAGTAACTCTTAAAGATCATATTAGCAATATATTTATCATATGTATTAAAATAAACATATTAAAATAAACAGGTTTCTGAGGTTTGATGTGTCGTAGTGTTTTTTTTCCCACACTTTGTTTTTTACTGTCTTATTCAAAATGGTAGTAAATTATTTTCTTTCAAAAAAAATGTACACACTATACCTGATCATAAAAGTGTGTTAAAAAGTAAAAAGTTTTTTTCTAAGATTGTTGCACATTTCTTACAAATAGAAAACCAACAAGCCATTAAAGCAGGTATTTACAGCCTTTACCGTGAAGCTCAAAACTGAGATGAGGGGTCTGTTTCCATGTATCCACCTTGCTATTTAGCAAGCTGGATACATGCAGCTTAAATGGAATCCACCTGTGGTAAATTCACGTTGTTGGACATGATTAGGAAAGGCACACACCAGTCCATATAAGGTCTGTAGGTTAACAATGCGTGTCAGAATACAAACAGAGCGTAAAGTCAAAGGAATTGTCTGGAGACCTCAGAAAGAGGATTGTTTTAAGGCTCAGATATGGGGTGGGGATAGAGAACCAATTCTGCAGTTTTAGAGGTCTTAAAGAGCACAGTGGCTTCATGATTCATTTGAAGAAGACGTTTGGAACCAGGATTTTTCCGAGAGCCGGTCAGCCACCTGAACGTGCGTGATGGGGGAAGAAAGACCCTTGTCAGAGCTCCAGCATACTTGCAGCAATGCACCAATCAGGCCTGTATGACAGAGTGGCTGCATAAAAGAGAGTCTGTAGGAAGTTTGCAAAAGACACCAGAAGGACTCTCATTAAAAAATAAAATTTTCTGGCTCGATGAAACAAAGACGGAACGCTTTCATCTGAATTTCAGGTGAAATGTTTGGAGGAAAAAAGGCTCTGCTCATCACCAGGCCAATGCCATTCCTAGTAAAGCATGGTGGTGAGAGCAACATGATATGTGGATGTTTTTCAGCATCAGGAACTGCCAGACTAGTCAGAATAGAGGAGAAGACTCCTCTGTAGCAATGTAAAGAGACATCCTGGATAAAAACATGTTCCATAGTGCTCTTAAATTCAGAATACGAAATGACCCAAAAGGGACAGACAAGCTCTGACATGAGTGGCTTTAGAGCTACTATGTTAATGTCCCGATGTTAGAGTCTAGATTGCAGTTTGATCCGAGAATGTCTGTGCACTGATGCCCTATCCAACATGATATAGCTTAAGATGAACTGCAAACAATGGGCCAAAATACCTGAAGACAGACGTCCTGCACTTGCATTAAAAAAGAAAAGCTGGAAATGCTGCCAAAGGTGGATTAACAACTGCTACACCTGTGAATACTCAAATAAATGTGATTTTGTAGTGTTAATTCAAATACAATTCCAGATATAAAACAAAATAAGGTCCATTTAAATAATCAGGTATTGTGTGCAGATTTTTTTTTGAAAATAGATTAATTTGGTTGCAATTGGAATAAGACTAAGGAGACTACAAAAAAGCCTGTTATGTATTTATTATATATTTGTATTTTTAGTCCATACCCCTCATCTGGATTGGGCTCAGCCACTGGTCCTCCCTCCATGAAGGTCCCCATCCTGCTCTTGGAGCGTTCCAGTTGGAGCTGACTCTGAGTGCCTGTCAAGACCACAGGAGAGCAGCAACACACCACTGCAATGAGTTTACTGTTACACATTGTTACAACTGCATTGCTCCATGGATTATGATGAAAGGGAAAAGAGAAACACAGCATTTATCTCATGCCACCCAACATATATTCCACCCTTTAAGGTTGCAGCCATCAACTCTAGTACTGCACGTTGTTCTCAGATCTGTGCAGCTTTAACCTTCAGCTACCATTAGTTGTCCTGTCCGACAATATATTACAGAGTAATGACTAGCTTACTGGATAATCTTACACATGAGATACAGGAACCCTGAAAATCAGGGATTTTGGAAATAAAAACCAAATATGATGATACTGTCTATGTTTTCTGGGAAATGTACCCACATCAGAGTATCATTGTCTAGCACAGGGGAAATCAGATTGGATGATGAGTGTAGGTGGAGAGTGTTATTTGTAATCTTGCCACAAATTCTCATTTAACTTTAATCTTTGACTTTTGCATAACATCCCGTTAAAACCCATTAAGGTTTATGACTGCAGTCTCATAAATTTGAATACGAATCAAAATAGTTGCTTATTAGTTTTCCAATATATTACGTTTCATTGCTTTCTCATCTGCAGAGGCTGCAAAATGCATTTCTTTTAACAGAAAGACGTACAACAGTGCATATTGCTTCCGTCCTGCCTCGTCCGCTTTCACTTCCAGTTTATTTCAGAGTTCACATTAAAGTCCTTGTGTTTGTTTTTAACATGGAAATGAAACAGTCAACCAAACTAGCTGAGTTCACGAGATTGTAGTATTGTAGATAATTATATTACAAATGTGAAAAATATAAACGTAAAAGAAAAACGAAGCATGGTTTAAGAATATTTTGGCGGGGGTGCTGCCAAGTTGCTGTGCTCCAATCAGTGACATCACAGGGTTGGTTGATGCTTTAGATAGCTGTTGAGTACATTAATAATATTGATTGGTTGATTGATTGACTTTATTGGTCTCACAGTGAAGAAATTAACTTTTTACATAGGCTCAATAGTCAAAAAGAAGAAGGTACCAAAAGGAGGAAAAGGTGGAAGGGAGTATATACAATGTGTTCATATTTATATATATATGACAGCTGAAGTCTCCTATTTAGACTGTTTATTATAAAGGGTTATTGCACAGCGTATTAACATGGGTATTTATATAGATGGGTATATATATACACATATATTTACCCTCATGGTAAATATATTTTTAATATATATATATATATGTATATACCTTAAAACGGTTAAGAACCTAGGTATGAAGGAAAACATAGGTGAAAGGACACTTGGCTGTCTAAATCCCAATCCTTACGTTTTTGAGCCATCTATTGTAATGACTAGAGCTGTGGTAAGCTGAAGAACCTGAAGCTGCTCAGAGTGTTTTTAATTTCGCCACTTATAAATTGGGCTCTAAAGACCGCCCAAAACAGTCTGACAACGGGTCATCGGCAGCAATAAGCAGTCATGACAAAAACGCGCAAAGTAGATACAGCAGAGAGGGGTGAAGTTTGTTGGCAAGTACGAAGTCACCAACTATGCCCCTAACTTAAAAACTAACGTCCACAACTACAGCTTAGTCCTTAGACTTTATCCCATCTAAGCAGCACAGGATCCCTTAGCGTCACTTTAAAGTCTTAAACAAGGTGGACCCGTCCTACATGGCAGAACCTCTCCAGCCCAACATCTCCAAATGTTCACTTAGGTCCGCTGACCATTTCCTCCTTATCGTTCCCAGCTCAAAGCGGATGCTTAGAAGGGACATCGCCTTCTCTGTTGGTCTCCCTGGGTTATGGAACGCTCTACCTCTGTACATTAATCAGGCTTCACTTCCCATTTTAAATGTTTTTAAGAAATACTTAATTTTATCCACTAGCCTTCAAGATAAGTGAAATTTTATTTTACTTAGAGGTATAGTGGAGGATGTTCTTTTTCCGGGTGGATCATCAAAGTAATTGGTCCTCCTAATTGTAAATCAGTCTGGTGATATATTTACAAAAGGCCGTCCTACGTGCTCGTCCCCATTTTCACACACCAGTGATGAGTCTGACATAGTGGAAAAATTGCAAATCCTTTTTTGGAAAATAAGCTTGTATGAGTGATGCAAACAGCAACTTTTAAACAGCGTGCATGAGGAGAAATGGGCTCGTGCACGCTCTTGCACTCATATAATAGGCATTCCCTCTTGGGAGCGTGTACAGGGTGTGCATGTGCATTTCTTTGTTAAAGTGGAGAGGTTGTGTCTTTTTAAAAAAATGGGAACATCCTCCACTATATCTTTAATTGATACCTGTATTGTTTTTGTATATTTTTGCAATATTTTATTGTGTTTTATAGTAAGTTTCTCAATTTATTATTGTGCACTTAATTTTACGGTTTTATCCTTTATTGCCGTTTTATTTTTTAATGTTATCAGTGTGTTTCCGTTGTGGCTAATATTAAAGTATTGTATTCATTGAGTAAATTTAAGGATGCCAGCTTTTCATCAGCCTCTTCTCCAGGATCTTGTTTCCACTTACCTTCTCGTCTCAGTGTCTCAGCTGGTTGATCAGCATTAGCTGCAGCAGGGTGAACTCTGAAGTTTCCTAAGAGGACAAAAGAAAACAACAAACAATACTGAAAAGTAAAAGCAGTCAATTATTTTCATTAAAAGATTTTAAAAAAATAAAACGTACCAAAAGATGGCAGGATGTTGTTGATATTCAGCCAAGCTTTTATGAAGGGATAGATTGAAATGAGCATGCCTGCAAAGCAGAAACGGGCAATGTTTAGGTGAATAGTGTGACATTGCTTTAAAATGTGCCTCTTCTAAGTAACTAATTTATTTTAAGAAGTTTTCTTAATGGTTTTGATGCCTGGAAAATAGAAGTAACTATGAAAAATTGAAGACAATATGATCTATTCTCTGATTTTGACAGAGATGATCAGGAATTTTCAACGATATAGTCTAAGCTCCCAAGGGTAAAATAATGATTTCTGGTATGATCCTGATGCAAAAGCTTGTTTTAGTTCAGATCAAATACAAAGTAAAATTTTAAACACAGGTTTTATGCTTGTTCTGCAGCACTGTCCTCCTATTCAGTACATAACAAAACCTTATTAGTTTGAAGACCTGGCATCATAGCCTGGCAGATCCTGAGGGTGGCTGTGATGCATGTCTGTGCTTAAAATGTCATGAAACTGCAGAAGGAGTGAAAACAATCTGCCGAGAACACTCTGTTCAAACTCATTAGTCAGCCTGTGTGTCGGAGGCGGCGTTGAGCCACACAAGCCCCAAAAACATTATTAGGACGTCTGCTGCTCAGCCGCACAAAATAGTGAAAGTATCAGTTTTGCTACCCTAATGCAAGTAGGTGCATGTTAGCAAGACAAATTAATTATTGAAAGCTGATCTGCTCCTTGGTGAGAATGAATTTCTCATTAACTATGTATATAGATGCTTATGTTGACTTCCACAGATCACCAACGCTGCCCTTTGCTCTTTTCTCTCCAGGAAACCAGTCAGGACTCGCTTTTATTACAGCATCTCCTCCTACTATCAGCTGGTTCTGGTTACAGGCTCTAAATTATATATAGCATGAAAATGGGTAACATTAAACATCAAATAATTTGGGGCATTTGATCTTTGCCGAAATTAATTAAATGACTTGAATATTACTTTGTCATATATGTGTCAATATAATCTAAAAAAAACAGCTATATACAAATATATATATATATATATATATATATATATATATATATATATATATATATATATATATATATATATATATATATATATATATATATATATATATATATATATATATATATATATATATATCTATAGATATACATATTTCATCTCATAATAAACACAGCTGTTAAAAGACTCCGTTTTTTTAGGAAAACATCAGTGAGCAAAAGTATCAAGAAGACTAACACAGGTATAACGCTGTGGAAGAGTTTAAATAGAGATTGATACAAGTTACAAAGTTACAACTTTGCAAAACTACAAGTACAGCTGAGATTTACAAGGACAAATCTAAAACCCCCTGAGGTTGTTCACCAATTAGCATTAAACAAGAAGAAGAAGAGCTATTGATGGAGTGCTATATCTTTTCTGAAATGCATGTGCAGCTGACAATAATACTTACGTTTATTGACTTATATTTAAAAATTCAGACACCTACACATACGTTTGTTTAAAAAACTATCTTACTTCATACGAGCTTATAATTATAGAAGTACACTACACTTTTTAGATTTTTATTTGTCAAAGAAAATTCTTAGAAAACAAAGATTTGAAAGGTATAAGCTGCAATGCTTTCTTTGATAAAAAAATATTTTTTTCTTTTAAAGCAAGGGATTTAATGATTCATATTTACATTAGACCATTAAAAAGATGATTGGAAACTTTGTGTATCTCTTCTCATTATCTGCAAATGCTAATCTGGAAGGGAAATGATCAAATCATCATCATCATTCTCGTTCAGGGTTACATGCTCTCACCGAGGCCTCCAGCTCCCAGGAAGATTCCTCCTACAGCATCAGCATCACATTCCCTGGACACCCCGATAATGATGCAGCCGGCAACAATACCGAGCAGGGCCGAGCCCACCCGTAGCCCATGGTACTCCCCGATGCTAACAGGGTTCATTCAGCAGGTGGAGATCCCCCACCTGCCACACTCACCCACACACTGTCTCCCAGCACTGATACACTGAAATCTACCTCAGCTCAGATCCTGGGTTCCACCAACAGCTTCTCCCTTTCTTTTCTATTGCTCTCTCTGATGCACAATCACTTTCCCTGGTTTAGACTATGTTCTCCGGTTGTTAAGGGATCTCATGAATCTTTAAAGTGGAGCTCTGGTTTCTACTGAAAATGAGAATGCTCGGAGCCCTGAATCGTATGACAGGGAACTTTGCCTCAAATCTGATCAGAGACCTCTGCCAGTCTGAGCATCTGGTATCACAGGCTCCATTTGTGGATAAACACAGAGAGACAGGGCGAGAGGCAAAAAGAAAAGGCCGTAATTAAAGAGTCAGACGTGTGACTTCTACGAGTTGCTTGTGAGCTTGAAGGGAATGTGTAATGAAAGGTTTGGAGAGTCTATGGTGGGGGCCCGAGGCCATCCACAAAGGCATGCAGTTGCTATAGAAATAGCAAAACCATGGCAACACAGGGAAGAGGAGGGTAAGCAGGATTAACGCTGTTGAGCAGGGTAACAAATTAATTTACAGCACTCTGTGGGGAAACAGTGATACATTTCCTCCTCAAGTTTTACTTGTGACTGTCTTCATTCATTTTTTGTAGCCTTTATTTAACCAGTTCTTTGGCTATTGTGGTGACAAACCTTTTTCTCAAGGTAGACAATGTGTCTTCATTCATCATATATCACTGGAATAGGAAATCTTGATGGCTGCATGTAATATACAGCCTTAGTCATTTTTAACAGTCCTTATAGTTTGTGAAACCCCAAATGTTCCTTTTCTGTTTGTGTTTATTTATGCATTTTTTGTCTGTTTCTTACATGGACTCACCTTACAGTGAACAAGTGAATGTTCAGGGCCCAAGAGATAATTATGTTTATACAGTCCTAGCTTGGACTGTATAGACTAGACATTTTACAGATTTGGGGTTCATTTGAATTGGAATTTATATGCATTGATAACTAAATAAAAGAGAAGATACTAGATAAAAAAGGCTAAAAACACCACACAAAATATTATGTTTTGAAATAACTAAGCTTTATAATATAATGTATAATATATATATAAAATAAATGCAATATCAATAAGTAAAAATAATTTGAATACCAATCTCAAGCAGTTAATGATACTTACCAAGAATCAAACATATATCTGATTTAAAATAAAAAAGGATTGCGTTGGCCGGGAATCGAACCCGGGTCAACTGCTTGGAAGGCAGCTATGCTAACCACTATACCACCAACGCGACACATACCTCCACCTCGGAAATATAGAACACATCTAACACCAGATATGAAGTACACGCATATTGTATTACAACTAATATCGTGCATTGTGCTACGTTCAGACCGTAAGCACTGGAGACAGAAAAAGGGCTTCTGCTGCTTCATTTTTGATAGTTGTACACATTACGGACGCTTAATCTTCAGGAGCAGCTTTGATGCTCCAGTGCGTCCAGTTAGGTCTTACAAAACAGCCCTAGCGGTAGTCAAATAAGTTGAAGTGAAAGGAAACTTAAATTAGACGTGGTAAATCTAATCATTGTGGATGCTGAACACCAGCATGGGCGGGATCCATAACTAAATGAGATCAAAAGATAGGTACAAGGATTAAACCGGAGATCTTGTCGTGACGTCCACCACTTCTACTTATCACTCTTACCTTATCTGAGCAAAAAACACACCGCGAACCATAGTGCGCACTATTTATCCTTTTTAAGTTGACCACTGAGGTATCTGAGACCTCGTGGCGCAACGGTAGCGCGTCTGACTCCAGATCAGAAGGTTGCGTGTTCAAATCACGTCGGGGTCAATATCTTTTGACAGTTTTACCATTTTGTAATACTCAAGCGACATGACCGTTAGGAAGTGTATCATTGACACAAATTTTGAATTATGACAACACTATTTACGGTTTTAAAAAAGTAGATCCAATCTAAAGGAAGACACAGATAAATAGAAATAGCAAAAAGGAGATAGCGCATAAAAGAAAAAATATATCAATATATATGTATTTTTTTTTTTCTACAGGCTTCGTTTGGACCCTAATAGCAGAGGACACAGGAATTGGAAAAAAAAAATAGGGCTCGTCCGGGATTTGAACCCGGGACCTCTCGCACCCTAAGCGAGAATCATACCCCTAGACCAACGAGCCAGATGTCTGATACAGACAATCCCACCTTTTTTGTAAACAGCGTTGGAGGGACCTACTTGTAAAATGTTCATTATATTTGCATACCGTATGTAGCTCTGAAAAGTTTGGTAATTATTGATGTTAGCTTGTGTTTGGGGTTTCACTTTGCTGCTTGAAACTGTGAATCGTTTACTAAAATCTGTGCTGTTTTTACGCCAAGTGGGACTGTAATGAGATCCGACCTTTCTGCCGCTTTCTCAACCCGGGCCTGTTAACACCTGTTTGGCACCAGCTGCAATGCCTTAGCTAGTATAACCAGTAAGGTGAGCGCCACTTCAAACAAAACAGCACTTTAGTGACTAAGCTATCTAGAGTGGTAACATGTTCATTTATTTGAAAGTATTTCCAGGAGGCAATCAGCTTTAGCTTTCATTAGAGGTACTGCACTGCAGTACTAAAAAAGTTATAACTCAAACACCTGGTAGTTCTACATGGAATTTACCAGGGGGGCCAGGGTGGGTCCAGTGATTTTCCATGGGGACAAAGACCAAAACTATAACACACATATACACACAGAAAAAAAAACAATAACAGCACATTCTTTGGTTTATTAATTAAACCATAAACTGGTCATTTCTGTAATTTTTAAATAATTCCTGAAGGAATTTGTAAAGGTAAAATACAAAATTGTTCTTGTGGACAAATTAGTTACGGTCTCCTCTGTCAGACCATATCATCATAAAAGGCCCATTTCCCCCCATTCTGGCTCCTGGGGGGCCGTGTTCAGTGCAAGCTGACAACACCGCATTACATGAGGAAGTAGAAAACACGACCATTTTCAAAGACTCCTCGTGCTGTCCAAAAGCTGCAGTAATTTCTTTCCAGGAGTTCTTCTACAATCTTTTGTCGGTGTTGGTATTTACTTAATCACAGGATCTCTAGATGTTTACATTCCCGAACGCTGGTCAGTAGGAGCTGTTGCTCACTTGTCATGTTATTCCACGCAGCTGTGTCTGCTTAGGTAGTTTTGGAAGCCCAAAATGATTTCATTAGGCTTTGCGGACCTCTCAGACAAGTCAAAAGTAAACCAAGCTTAAGAAACTGATTTAGTATTAAACTACAAAAACTGATCTATAAAATGTTTCTTAAAACCTATCTGCTGAAATCAAGCTGATATAAACTTATTTGAAGAAAAACTGATGTACATTTAAGTATTTGAGGTTTGTGTTTTCAGTACAGTGGCCATAACAGGGGTCAACACTCCCGCAGGGGCCCCTGTTGGCCCCCATCTAGACCCGCCCATGACCACGCCCGTGCGCAGATAGACACTAGGTGGTGCTAGAGCCATAGATATCCATAATAAAGCCTTTATTATGGATATCTATGGCTAGAGCACCGACCCTTTTCTCCTCTGGACAATAAAAGTGCCCTCCTGAAAATGTTTGAAAATGTCTGAAATAATATTTAAAAATATAAGAATTTTAGTTTGGTAGAATCCTATTTGTGTGAGGTTATTATTGATGATTTTCACTTTACACAAACTTTTCTCTCCTTTGCTTCTTCTTCCTTTTCTTTTTTTATGGTGGTTGGCAAGCAACTTATTGATGTGCATTACCGCCATCTACTGGAATAGAGCGTGGATCAGGATTCTATATATGAATTCTCCCAGAAAACAAAACAAAAAATAATAAAATAAAATAATAATAATTAAGTTAATAACTCTTATGTTCTTTCTATCAGTTTCGTTTTTTAAAGGTGATTCATTAAATTAAAAATAACATTTAGAAGTAGAAAGTTTGTTCCAAAATATCTCGTTTAATTAATTAGAATTTATTTTCTTGCAATGGACTAACCAATTCCCTTCTCTCAACAGAATATTTAGAACAGACTAACAAAACACGTTTAACTGTCTCTTCTTGAGAACAAAAATCACAGTTTCCTGTTGGATGTTTTCCCCTTTTTAAATAAAGTTATTTTTAACCTGGTATGATCAAAACGTAATCTGGATATAATGGTTTCCTCTTTTCTATTTCTTCCTGTTCTCCTCATTGTACCATCTTTTCTTTGAATACTGTAAAGCCACCTTCCAGTTCTATCCTCTTCCCACTGCTTTTGCTATCTTTCCTTAAACTTTTGTTTAATAAAATATTTTATTTATTTTTCACTAATTGGTATAATTATATCAATATAGCTATTTTTGTAACTTGTTCTCCTTTACTTTATCCTCTGCTCTTCCTGAAGAAAAAAAACGACTGATAAGTAGATATATTTTTCATTGTAGAATATTGGACAGATGGAATAATTCCTCTAAAACCTCTTAAAAAAAGGCGGATTATTTAGAGATTGAAAAGCAATCTGTTTATTTTTTTTACATTGTACTTTGTTAATATTATTTGAACATGATGTCGTTAAGGGAATAATAATTTGCACTACTCAGCAAATCTGTCCACTGCATACGGGCTTCTGTGTCTGGTCATGTGACCCACACTCAGCCATCTTGTGGAAAACGAAGAGAGAGAGCCACTCAACAACACGGATACAAACCCTGAGCTGTCATAGCTAGCAGAGGTAAGACGGCCAAAGTGTTACACACCAGCCAGAACCCTTAATTCACATGATTTAAATCCCGCGTTAAAGGCTCATGTTCTCATGGCAGAGAGTTGGTTGGGGTTGCTGTTTAACGTGCCATGTTGACTTGGCCTTGCAGCACCGAGCTCCGGTGTGTTGGCGTCCGCGTCAAGTCGCGCTAAACCCGGTGCACTTTGGCGAAGAAACGCCGTTGCTCGCGAAGGCCGCGTGGAGCTATCAGCTAACCAGTTAGCATGCTAGCTCTAGGTTAAATGTATAGAGTATATTCTAGTACAGCTGTTGTCATTTCAAGTTTAAGAAACAAATGCCGATAGAATTCAAATAGCTGTCAAAATGTTATTACATTTACATGACGTGTATTTGGTACCGAAAGCTAACCTGCTAGCACAACTGGCTCTCGTGTTAGTGGCTAGGAAAAATACACTGAGGTAACAGCATGCAGCTAAAGATTTATTTAACTTCACCTGACTGCCGAGATAATTTAAATAAGATCTTATAGTCAGCACTTATTTTGAATACATAACGTGATCGAGGTCGAATAAAGTTAAGTGTTGAAAAGTTGCAA